AACTYTGSYAWMTMTAWGGCAAATATGTGATAMKGATGGCCTGTACGGACTGCAAGCCAGACCAGACACTTTTCTGGCAACTATCTATAAACTATGACCAAAAGGAATGGAGCCAAAAAGTCTTTCACCAGGCTCTGAGGCAGAATGGGCTGAACCAAAGAGCTCAGCCTATAGGGGGAGCCTAAACTCCTACTCTAAACTTGGCAAAATGGAACAGTCCAACAGGCAAATAAACAGGCCGAGACTTCACAATGTGTTCTGCATACAAGTTGAATAGGTTGGGTGAGAGTTTGCAGCCGTGCTGTATGCCTTTCCCAGGCTTGAACCAATCTGTTGTTCCATGGTTAGTTCTTACTGTTGCTACTTGGTCCTTATACAGATTCCTCAAGAGAGAGATAAGGTGTTTTGGTATGCCCATGCCACCAAGAACTTGCCACAATTTATTATGATCCACACAGCCAAAGGCTTTAGAATAGTAAAAAAAACAGAAATAGATGTTTTTTCTGAAACTCCCTGCCTTTCTCCATTATCCAGCGGATATTGGCAATTTGGTCTCTTCTTCCTCTGCCTTTTCTAAACCCAGCTTGTACATCTGGCAACTCTCTCTCCATATATTGCTGGAGTCTTCCTTGCAGGATATCATATTATTACCATAGCACAAAATATTAGTATTATATATTACTGTATTGTAATATTAGTATTATATATTACTATATTATACTGTAATATTATTAGTAATATTACATGTAATATAAAATATATAATTATAATATTGTATTATTATTATCATTATTATTATATTGTATTACATTATATTATATTACATTATAATATTATCAATATTATCACATGCAACTCCTGGAACGATTCCATCAGCGTTGCCTCCGGAAAATCCTCCAAATCTCTTGGGAAGACAAGCAGACAAACATCGGTGTGCTGGAAGAAGCAAAGACCCCCAGCATTGAAGCGATGGCCCTCCGCCACCAACTCTGCTGGACCGGCCACGTTGTCTGGATGCCCGACCACCGTCTCCCAAAACAGTTGCTCTACTCCAAACTCAAGAATGGAAAGCAGAATGTTGGTGGACAGGAAAAGAGATTCAAAGATGGGCTCAAAGCCAACCTTAAAAACCCTGGCATAGACACCGAGAACTGGGAAGCCCTGGCCCTTGAGCGCTCCAGCTGTAGGTCAGCTGTGACCAGCAGTGCTGCAGAATTTGAAGAGGCATGAATGGAGGGTGAAAGAAGTGTGCCAAGAGGAAGGCGTGTCAAGCCAACCCTGACTGAGACCGCCTTCCACCTGGAAACCAATATCCTCACTGCGGGAGAAGATGCAGATCAAGAATAGGGCTCCACAGTCACCTACGGATCCACCAGAGTACTGACCCTGGAAGACTATCCTGCTCGGCCAACGAGGGATCGCGTAAGTAAGTAAGGAAGGAAGGAAGGAAGGAAGGAAGGAAGGAAGGAAGGAAGGATCAATATTATATACATTATGTTATATTATATCATATTATTCTAACCCTTGTAAACCTCAAAATGTTTTTTAAAAAGAAAACTAACTACATATCAATTCAATATATATCAAATCTCAGCCATGTCTTGTATGGTTTTTGAACTGTTTTTGGACAAGTTACTAATTTCTGAGCATCAGTGTGTTGGAAAAGAAAACTGAATTGAAAAGTATTTAGATTAGTTTAGACTAATTTGTCTTTGAGGAAACATATTCATGAGTTAATGCTACTGTTTAGTGAAAGATAATCGTGAACCTGTTAAGAGCTCGCTAAACCTGATGTCCGCTAATGTAGGCTTTTAAAATGCTATGCATGATTTCACCCAGTGATTTATTAACAAATAGTGAAAGCCTTCTATCTGGATGCAGAGTGATGATGCCTTGAAAGGCAATTACATCACTTGAAAGCTGAAAAGAAGCATATATTTCCCACTGATCTGAAATAAGGGCTGGGATTTCCAGATTTCTTGCTGAGGAAAGATGGACTTTCTTCAAGATAGTACTGGGGAACCCTTTCATTACCCCCAGTCATTGACTAGAAATAAAAGGGATCTAAACTTTAATTGAAAGCAAGCTGTGGAGTAAAAGCAAGCTAAGAGGTTCCAATTTGGAGTCAGGATCCATAGTTTAAGAAGCAGTGATGTAAACAATAAATATCATAATTTCTCAGTTCTAAGGGGTTCACAAAAAGTTTTGCAAAAATTCAGAAGAACTAGTTCCGAGTGCATCTACACTGTAAAATTAATGTAATTTGACACCACTTTAATTGCCATGGCTTAATACAACGGAATCATGTGAATTGTAGTTTGCTGAAGCCTCAGTACTCTTTGGCAGAGAAGGTTAAATGCCTTCTAAACCTACAACTACCATGATTCCATAGTATTGTCATGGCAGTTAAAGTAGTGTCAATCTGCTTAAATTCTACAATGTAGATGCATCCTCCATTTGTTTCCGTGGCTGAGCAGGAATTTGAACTTTAGTCTCCCAGTGTCTTAGTTCAACACTGAAAGGCTGGCTCTTTGGGCATGACGTTAGCATATTTGAAACCCGCAAAGCCTGTCAGAAGATGCATAATAATTATGACAACCATCCTATTAACAATAATGTTTCTTCATATTGTAAATGGGAAAGGGTCCAGAGTCATATACAGAAAGTAGGGGTTGCACTGAGGATTTGTGATTGAGGTGAGACCTGAAGTGGGGATTTTTCAATTCCAAAGTCATTCTCTTGTTTGCTCAACAAAATCTGTGTCTGCGGAGGAACTTGCAAAACAGACTCATCTATGGAGTTCACTGTATGAGTCAATGATACTTACAGTAAAGGAAGTGAAAGTGAGGCTCAAATGCAAAATTAACACGCAGAATGCCTGTTTTTACAACAACAACAACAACAACAACAACAACAACAACAACAACTTTATTTTTATACCCTGCCACCATCTCCCCAAAGGGACCCAGGGCAGCTTACATGGGGACAAGCCCAGAATCACAAATAAAATAGCAATTAAAATCAATCAAATAAAAACATAACACAGTTACAACAATAACATCATAAAAACATAAAACATCATAAAACCATATCATGTCTGAGTAAGAATCAGAGCTGGGTCCAGGCTCAAAAGTGCAGTGATATTCCTAAGTGGAACCAGGGGAAAAGTGTAAAAATTCAGGAATATCAATCTAGACTATGACAACACAGAGGAAATACCTATAGCCATGAGTGTCAAGAGTTATCCTATCTATTCATCAAAACCACTGATCCTAAGGAATCACTGATGACATTCCCATAGCTGCATTTGTGACATGCATTTTACAAAACAAGAGATTCAGATGAGAATACTTTGCTACTACCTGTTTAGGAAGACGAACATGTTTTATTTTTTTAATTTACTTTATTTTTATCCCGCCTTTCTCCCGATATAGGCAGTTAAGGCAGCTAACAATAAATACGACTCCAAACGTACATTAAAGCATCAATGTATATACAATTATAGCAGTGGCCATTTTCAAAGCAGTAGCAACATGGAATTAAGACCATAAGAGGACCATAGCTGGATCAGACTAAAAGCTTGTGTAGTCTGGCATTTCATTTAAAAAGCAACTATCAAATTGGGTTGCTGTGAGTTTTTCCGGGCTGTATGGCCATGTTCCAGAAGCATTCTCTCCTGATGTTTCACCCACATCTATGGCAGACATCCTCAGAGGTTGTGAGGTCTGTACCATATTGCTCAAAGAACTATACAAGCAGCTGTACGTCCTTTCTGTGATTCCCAACAACTTTTATACAGAGGCAAACTGTTTTTGATACTGGGAAGTACATCATGACAAATGGGACCTGGCAGCCCTATCCTCCATTAATTTGTCTAATCCACTTTTAGAGCCATTTAGTCATACCCTTTTCATCTAAGATCAGGAAACATGGGGATATTTTACAAAACCTTTTGTTTCTTCCTGGTAATCATCGCATATCATCTTGGGGACCTCAGTAAGGTTGAGAGGTGATAAATAATACAATCTATTATTGATATTCCAGAATTTGTGATTCAAGTTCCTGAAAAATTGTAGCAGCTTTGCCAAAACCAGACCTTTTTCTTCTGCTTCCTCCTCTTCTAATAGGCTTTCATTTGTGCTTTGTTCATTTGCCACCTTGGTTATTGCAATGGTTTTTCACTGGTCCTCCAGTATCTTGCCTTCCATTCAACATTTTGCTGCTAAGATTGCACAGCCCAACCAAAACATTTTTTCTTGGTTTTGGTTTTAAGCCTGTTCCTGGGGTTATCTTACAACAGCTCCAGATTCTTAGGTAGGATTATCATTAATGGCATACCTTCTATATCTCAGACTACAGCTGAGAGGTGAAATCTGGTACCGTGCTTGGAATCAGCAGATCAAATACAATGAGAAACAGAGCTTTAGACTTCTCACTTAACTAAGCATTTCTTCTTCCTTGACTCAGTTTTGTCCTTTTTCACTCGATGCCCCATTCTCCTGGGTTGCCTCCATGCAGACTGTTCCATCTCTTGTTTTAAAATCCCAATCTAAAATGTTGTTTCTCAAAATGTTTGGAATTTTAGTTTAATATTGTTCTGTGATCTTGTATATTTTGATTATAGGTATTTGTCACTTTGCTTTATATTAGGTTGTATTTTTTGCATTTCATTTGTATTATTTGTTTTATAATTGCATTGAATAGTTTGTATTTCTATTATCCTTTCTTTCCTTCCCTCCTTCCTTCCCTCCATTTGTGTGTATATACACATAGTTTAAATTTTATGTCTTTGGCAGTATTTATTTATTTTATTTATTTACTACACCTATATACCGCCCCTCTCAGCCCAAGGGCAACTCGGAGCAGTTAACAATAGGAAACAATTCAATGCCAGAACAATTAAAACAATCATAAATACCATCAAAACGCTAACAGCAATAAAAATACAAAAACCATACACAGCATTAAAAAACATTATCAGAGTGTCTCCATATCCAATCATTGTCCAGTTGCGTCATCGGTTTTCATAATATCAAATATCTATGCCGTATTTGGGAAGGCCTACTCGAAAAGCCAGGTTTTCACCTTTCTTCAAAAGGTCAGGAGAGAGGGGGGCGATTTTATCTCTCTAGGCAGGGTGTTCCACAGTTGAGGGGCCACCGCTGAGTAGGTCTGTCTCTTGTCCCCATCAGATACATCTGTGAGGAAGGTGGGAGCAAGAGCAGGGCCTCCCCAGAAGATCTTAAAGTCCTAGATGGTTCATAAGGAGAGATATGTTCGGATAGGTAAGTTGGATTGAAACCGTTTAGGGCTTTGTAGGCTAAAGCCAGCACTTTGAATTGTTCCCGGAAGCAAATTGGCAGCTGGTGGAGGTGGCACAACAGAGGAGTTGTATGCTCTCTGAGCGCCCCACTCCTGTTACCAACCTGGCCGCTGCCTGTTGGACCATTTGGAGCTTCCAAACAGTCTTCAAAGGCAACCCCACCCACATAGAGAGCATTGCAGTAGTCTAAACAGGATGTTACCAGAGCGTGGACTACCATGGCCAAGTCAGATTTCCCAAGGCACGGGTGCAGCTGGCACACAAGTTTTAACTGTGCAAATGCTCCCGTGGTCACCGCCAAAACCTGGGGTTCCAGGCTCAGCAATGACCAAGCTGTGAACCTGCACCTTCAGGGGGAATGTAACCCCATCTAGCACAGGCTGTAACCCTATGCCCTGTTTAGCCTTGTGACTGACCAGGAGTACCTCTGTCTTGTCTGGATTCAATTTCAATTTGTTCACCCTCATCCAGACCGTCACAGCAGCCAAGCACCGGTTCAGGACCTGAACAGCCTCCTTTGTAGCAGGTGGGAAGGAATGACAGAGTTGGACGTACCTACTTTTTGTTGTTGTTTTACTTATAAGATGCCATGTACATCAATGGTAGGTAAAGGTTAGGTAAAGATTTTCAAACTGTTATGTTGGCAGAAGCTGGGGTTAACAGCAGGAGCTCATGCCGCTCCCCGGATTCGAACCTGCAACCTTTCGGTCTGCAAGTTTAGCAACTCAGCACTTTAACCCACTGCGCCACTAGGGGCTCCTACATCAATGGTACTATATCAATAACATTTCTACTTGTAAATATTGTCTCTCAATTACAACGGCAAGGTGCCACATTAATAGATTTCACTCTTGCAGGGAATCATATCCTTTTGTTGTGTTATATACCAAGCTGCTTGAAATAAAGATCAGATTTGGGTCATTTTGCTTTATTTATTTGTGATAATGGGGTGTGACATCAAATAAAACTGACAAGGAAAATTGCAACAAGACACAAACAAGAACACATACAAGTACTGTCTCAATGGCTCAGGATGGGCTAGGAGTACAGTTTTGCTCATTTGTTCTCACAAGCTGAGACAATTGGTCAAGGGTTTTCCCTGAGGTTGAGGCTTCAGCAAACAACATGACTGGGTCACAATTCACATCTGCATTCAATACAACATTCATAAACTATAAATATAGAACTAGGAAATTCTAACACTGATTTCTGTTTTGGTGAGTTTTTGCTAATCCTAAGAGTATCTAGAGATAGGTGAAAGCAGAAGGCAAGCATTGTGTGGATTTCACAATTAATAGTAAACAGGTTTCAAAGTTGATGCACTTTCTATTGAACACCTGAGAATATATACATGATGCATATTTTGAAATTTTAAAATAAGGCTAAAAGACAATAGGCATTCAAATGCTGTGTGCTGGCCATTGCTTTTTGTTCTGCTGTATCTACAGTATAACTGAAGACTGATATACAAACATATTCGTCCTACACCCATCTTTGTTGTTTAGTTGTTTCCGACTCTTCGTGACCTCATGGACCAGCCCACACCAGAGCTCCTTGCCGGGCTTCCTCACCTTTGGCTCTGCTGAGAAGGCTGCTGGGAGCTTTTTGGTAATTCGTTCGGTCCTTTCCAATTCTTCATGAACTCGTGGATCTCCCTGTCGGCTGTCACCACCTCCATTTCCTTCAAGGTCAAGCCAATCACTTCAAGGATAACATCCATCCAAATTGCCCTTGGTCGGCCCCTCTTCTTTTTTCCTTCCATTTTCCCCAGAATCATTATCTTCTCCAAGATATCCTGTCTTCTCATTATGTGGCCAAAGTACTTCATCTTTGCCATTAATATCCTTCCCCCCAGTGAGTAGTTGGGCTTTATTTCCTGGAGTATGGACTGGTTTGATCTTCTTGTGGTCCAAGGCACTCTCAGAATTTTCCTCCAACACCACAGTTCTTTATTATTATTTATTTACAATATTTATATTCTGCCCTTATCACCCTGAAGGGGACTCAGGGCAGATCACAGAAAACATATACGGCAGACATTATACAACACAAGACAGACAACAGATAGAGGTATATAAACAGGCTTTCCCATATTTTGGCATCTTTGGAAGCTGTGCTCGATTCTGGCCACAGGGGGGTGGTATTGCTCCATCTCCTTGCCGAATAATCTTCTTTGTTCGTAAATCTTCCTCCTTCTGATTGAATATACTTCCCTGCTTCAATGTGGTACTTATTTATTGACTCATATTGCTGTTTCTGATCTGTTAGGTGGGTGGGGAGCTGGGACTGAAGGTCTGGAGCTCACTCTGATCCGGCTTCGAACTGTCAACCTTTTGGTTGGCAAGATTTTACTGCAGCTGCAGCTGGTGATTAACCTGCTGTGTTAAATGGCTAGCCCAAAAGCATATACCAGTTCAAAACCGTCTGTCTTCCTTCGCCCATCCTTCCTTATGGTCCAGCTCTCGCATCCATAGGTTATTATAGGGAATACTTTTGCTTTAACTATGCGGATCTTCGTTGCCAGTGTGATGTCTCTACTCTTCACTATTTTATCAAGAGTGGTCATTGCTCTCCTCCCAAGAAGGAAGTGTCTTCTGATTTCCTGGCTGCAGTCTGCATCTGCAGTAATCTTCGCGTCTAGAATTACAAAGTCTGTTACTGCCTCCACGTTTTCTCCCTCTATTTACCAGTTATCAATCAGTCTGGTTGTCATAATCTTAGTTTTGTTAATGTTTAACTGCAACCCAGTTTTTGCACATAAATACGACATGCCTCAGGAGCTCAGATTTCAGTAAAAACTTGACAGTGTGGAGCAGAAGACTCACACAATGGGATATACCATTGTGGTATCTCAGTTACACAAATGACTCTAAAAGAGAGCATGAGATCGCGGAAGAAAGAAAAGAGGGAAATCAAACTGCACAAGTTATTTGAAGAAACAAAATTACAGTCAACATGAATGTAGTCACACATCTCCTTCTCCTTCATTAGCATTGTGCCAGAAGGCACATAAATGGGTGGACAAAAATGTAAAGGACACAAAAATGTTCTGTGAAACACCGATAGCCTGGTTAGTGATTGTCATTTGATTCCCTGGTTGACACCAGTAAAGACTTTCATAGACTATCCTATTTTAAATAATGCACATTTAACTTGGCCTGTTCCCTTAACCCCATCATGGCTGGAATGCAGATCTTGAAACCAATCCCAAATCAGGATTTATTTCCTGGGTCGACAGGGATTCCCATTCCTGAGCAATAACCATGGTTTAACTCAGGACTGTAATACTTGCAGCTAAACACTAAGCTTGGCAGAACAATTATGTAAAAAAACTGTAAACTTGCATAAGGTTTCATTAAGGCACCAATGATCAGTGTGTGCTTGGCAAGTTCCCAACATCAACCAATACTCACAATGTCAGCATACTTTTAGACAGAGGAGAGGTGCCTTCTTCCTTGTGAAAAGCTGGAGAACCACCCCTTCAGTACTTTTTGAAAACTAATATTGTAACAGTCAACTTGGTATCTATACTGGCGTATGTTTACTGTTCTTGAGATGTTTTGTGTTTTAGAGCACGTTTGAGAACCAAAGTCCAGTTAAAATTAAGGTGTAAATATTTTCCCATCATGTTTCTCACATTCTAGCAGATCTTCCAATAGCAGTAAACAAACGTCAAAATCTTGGATGCCACCTGTTAGTCTATTTTGGGATACAAAGTTTCTGGTGTCCATCTCATTTTGTGATTTCTGCCAACTACTTTACAGGCTCACGTTTCTTTCTGCTCTGTGGTTTGAAGGGATCCTTTACTTCCAGAATTATTGGAATAGTTTCCCGAGTCTTGGCTAATTTCCTCTGGCTCTGTGAGGTCTTTCACGTCAACCAGATCAACATCCTTTGAGACACTACTGTCACATATGACAACACAGTCTTCTGTGGGCTCTTCTGAAGTCAGCAAATAGGAACTGCTCACAACTTTTCCCCCAATGTTCTGCAGGTGAGAAGGAAGAAAGGAAGTAATAAGGAAAAAGCACAATATGTTCTTCAATTGTGTATGAACAATTTTGCAATACCATTTAGTTTTGAGAACATATGAATAAACATTTTGAGACTGATTTCTCCATACAGTTGGCCCTTCACTTTTCATAGAATCATAGAATCAAAGAGTTGGAAGAGACCTCATGGGCCATCCAGTCCAACCCCCTGCCAAGAAGCAGGAAATTGCATTCAAAGCACCCCTGACAGATGGCCATCCAGCCTCTGTTTAAAAGCCTCCAAAGAAGGAGCCTCCACCACACTCGGGGCAGAGAGTTCCACTGCTGAACAGCTCTCACAGTCAGGAAGTTCTTCCTAAGGTTCAGATGGAATCTCCTTTCTTGTAGTTTGAAGCCATTGTTCCACATCCTAGTCTCCAGGGAAGCAGAAAACAAGCTTACCCCCTCTTCCCTATGACTTCCTCTCACACATTTATACATGGCTCTCATGTCTCCTCTCAGCCTTCTCTTCTTCAGGCTAAAAATGCCCAGCTCTTTAAGCCGCTCCTCATGGGGCTTGTTCTCCAGACCCTTGATCATTTCAGTCGCCCTCCTCTGGACACATTCCAGCTTGTCAATATCTCTCTTGAATTGTGGTGCCCAGAATTGGACACAATATTCCAGGTGTGGTCTAACCAAAGCGGAATAGAGGGGTAGCATTACTTCCCTAGATCTAGACACTATGCTCCTATTGATGCAGGCCAAAATCCCATTGGCTTTTTTTGCCGCCACATCACATTGTTGGCTCATGTTTAACTTGAGTTTTAACTTTTGCAGGTTTAATTTTTGCAGATTTGATTATACGTAGAGCACTTCCTAGGAATCTCTATGTCCTTCAGCGCAACTTCTGCTGGAAGCTGAATATAGACAGAATCACACTGAAGGACATAGAGATTCCTAGGGAGGTGTTTACTCAGCTAAAAATAATGACTTTTTGGGATGCAGGGCCCCATTTATGCAGGGACCCTGTACCCAAATCCCTGCAAAAGCAGAGGGCCTACTGTAAAGAGCTATTACAGAAAGCTATTGTATAAAGTACTGAAAAAGACTCTTTTCTCAGAAGCATGAGTTGGCTAAGTTCGGATCACTGGAATATAACTGGAGGGAGCTGAAGCCAAAATAGATATTATGCTTTATGCAAAACCTCCCAACAAAACTGGTAGCTGCACATTTATCTCTTCTTCCATACTGTCTAGTAACCATTCCTCCTTGATGTCTAATAACTATTTCCTCATGCCACACAATTCAACATTTCACTCTCTCTTGCCACCTGATAACATGGACTGAGCAGAGATGAAAGGGGTCTGTAAGGCATGACATCCAGCCACAAGTTAAGTCAGCTAGATTTTTTTTTCATGTCAGTAGCGACCTGAGAAACTGCAAGTTGTTTCTGGTGTGAGAGAATTGGCAGTCTGCAAGGACGTTGCCCAGACGACACTCAGATGCTTTACCATGTTTTGGGAGGTTTCTCTCATGTCCCTGCTGACTGACAGGAGCTCACCCCACTCTCTGGATTTGAGCCACAGACCTTTTGGTCCTCAGTCCTGCCAGCCCAAGAGTTTAACCCATTGCACCACAAGGGGCTCCAGTCAGCTAGATATTGTGAGAGAAGGCAAGCTGCTGTTTTTGGTCACAGAGAGAGAAAAAAGTATTGCTTAGTTTGCCATTATAGGCCAAGATAAATTACTATTACAAAGAAAAAACAGGTGCGTGTTGGCCTCGATATGGCAAAGACTTGTGGTGTGTGTGTGTTACTTTAAGATCAAAGTATATCAGGATTACTGAAGATGTAAAAATATTTGACTGATTCATTGCCATTATATTTGTTGGGATCTGTTTCCACAAGGTACCAAATCCCCCCCAAAAGGAAAAAAGAAAAGAAAAATGAGTTATAGGCAGCACATTGTTGGCTAGGAGAAGAATATTATGTACAGATCAAAACTATCAAAATAGATTAAGTCACTTTTTGCAGGGCTTGGAAAATTGAATGTCATGGTAAAAAATGCATACCCTCAGCACATTTTTTTTTCAGTTTCTGTAAAATTTGTTCCGATGGACTTGATACCTTTTTGGAACAAGCTCCACATTGGGAAATGCAAAACTTGGAAGGAGAAATGCTAAGAAATAGTAAGTGCTCTATTTCAGAGGAAGGCAATTACAAATAACCTCTAACTGTTTTTTGTGTTTTGTGTTTTTTTGGAGCTGTGCATAGGAGGATAGGTAATATGTCCACAGGTACCCTTCAAAAGGTGAAATTTTAGGAGAGGAAAAGGTAATTGTGCTGGCACGGCTGTGCCAGGAGTTTAGAATTTTCTTTCTTGCATGGCTAGTTTGCTTTAAATTACTTGGGCCATGCATTTTGCAGTAAGATAGCTTCCCTCAGTTTGCAGCCATAGGGCCAATGACCCATCTATCATTGTTAGAGCCTTTAGATCCACCCCTTTTCCCAGGTTAGGAGGGAAAAGGGACTTTTAGCTCAGCTTACAGTTGGAAGCCTTACAGACGGGACGTGTGGACTTTTCTCTCCCCACCTGTAAAAAGCTTCATTTCGCACAGCTTTGCTGGGGTTGAAGAAATAGATCTACAGCCAGCTTTGTTGAAGAGAAAGGTTACAGCCAGCCTTTGCTGGGAAATACAGCCAGTTTTGCTGGGCAAAAGGAATGGTTCCACATCCTGCGTGGAAAATCTAAAGAACACTAACTCGGCAGATTGACAGAAGACCTTATCTGATAAGGGACACTCGGGCTATCCATAACGTAGATTGGAGCCAGGAGTAGGGGCCTCACACCAGTAAGGCCCAAGGAGGGGTCAGAAGGTTTCCCCAAGGAAAAGGAACAGTTCATTAAGCAGTTGCCTGTCCCTTATGAGCAGATTAAGAAAGTTACTAGTTTTCCAGAGTTTTCCAGTATTTAATTCCTTTGTTGAAGATTTACGCATCAATAAAGAACTTTGTTGAACTTACTTTAAGCCTCTACAGAACTTTGTGGTGGGAAACCCAAGGGCCCTTTAGCTGAGGCACCCCGGCGTCCCGTTGGGCATACAGAAAGCACGTCCTGCAAATAGACATTGCCACAGGCCCAGCGTGCGACAGCACAGTAATCTTGAAAGCTAACCTCTTCCTTTTAGGGTATTACCAGTGTATTGTTAGAGGGACAACATTGTTTAGGATATTGTATTGTTAAAAAGCTAATCCAATGTCCAGTGTTAGAGAAATTTAGCGGTGTGCCAAAATAATACATATGGTAGAATCATCCAGTAAATATATTCAGTTAAATAATCATATTCAACCAAATCAAACATATTTGCATGTGAAATGGATATTCACCAGCAGTTCTTGAAAACCTAATCCATAACTGTGGGACTATTTCCATTTTCTCTCTTAGACAACACATACGTACACACAAACACACAGCACCACACTCACTGCATATATTTTCATCCTACCTACGGAAAAAGAGAGCCTGGGGTCGCTGTGAAGTCTTTGTACATACAGAAGCACCTGCAATGTTACTTTCTAAAATACATTTCACGTAATGATTTCACTGCAGATTAATGATAAAGGAACAAAACCAAGAATAAATACCTCTATGGTCAAAGGAGGGTTGCATTTTGGAAAGAATGTATATTGGACCCATTTCCAAGTGCAGTGTGTAAAATAGATCAAGCCAACTATCAGCAAAATAACAGTCACAAACACCACAACTGGTACATACACAGCTGAGGAATTTCCTACAAAAAAAGAGGATGGAGGGAAATAACTATTAAAATATTGAAAATATGGCAAATTTACAGGCAAAACAATCTGAAGTGAGGCTGAGATTGGTCAGCTGACTAAAAGTTAAAAGGGTGAACTACTGCCTCATCAATCGCTTTGTGTCTGTGCATATGCTCACACCTATATGAATGTGCACTGTTTTCCCTCATGACCTTAGTGAAGAAGACTTTTGTGGGTTTTTAAATATAGTTTCCTTCCCATCCCACTTGTTGCTTAGGTGATCCCTTGATGGCCTTCCAAGTATAGGGTCCTGGCAGTGGATACGTAGGTGACTGTAGAGCCCTCTTCTTGACCCACATGTTCTTCCACAGTGAGGACATAGATTTCCAGGTGGAAGGCGGTTGCGGTTAGGGTTGGCTTGATGCGCCTTCTTCCGCTTGGCACGTTTCTGCCTTTTGCCCTCCATTCATGCCTCTTCAAATTCCACAGCACTGCTGGTCACAGCTGACCTCCAGCTAGAGCACTCAAGGGCCGGGCTTCCCAGTTCTCAGTGTCTATGCCACAGTTTTTAAGGTTAGTTTTAAGCCCATCTTTAAATCTCTTTTTCTGTCCACCAATATTCTGTTTTCCGTTCTTGAGTTGGGAGCATATTAACTGCTTTGGGAGATGGTGATCTGGCATTCGGACAATGTGGAGTTGTTGGCATAGGAGCATCGCTTTAATGCTGGATCTAACAAATCAACCTTTTCATCCCACTAGATCTAACAAATCAATCTGCTCCTGCCATGCCCTATTTGTGGACTTTGGGTTTATTACATTAGATCCCTGCTCCTCATCAGCAGAGGTCAGTAGAAAGCCTAAGTTGATACTTAGCTGCCCTGAGTCGCCTTCGGGCTGATATGGGCAGGATAGAAATAATGTAAATAAATAAATAAATAAATAAATAGTATGTGGTTGTGATGGGATGAGGACAGTACTCGAGGTCCTAAATATTAATTTCAAATAGCTACTACTGTGATTCTTTTTCAAATGGCAAAGTAATTCTTTGCCATTTGATAAATTAAAATTCACTCTGAATTTTGAAACAAGCAAAGTGGAGAACATGCCAGCTTTACAAAGATCTGAAAGTATGTTTAGTCACAATAGCTGGTTCTCATAAAGTAACACTGAGGTCCTATAACGCAATAAATGTCATAGTTTCAATATAACGCACTTTGTTAACATGGAATATTCCATAAGAGGTGCATAGTTGTTGAGTCTTGATCAGAATCAATCCAATGTAGTATGTTTTGTTTATAGTAATTTTTACACAGGGACTTCAGTCACAGCATATGTACAAAGCACATATAAGTATTCCAGTGCACTCACAATGTGATAAGCTGTGTATCTAAAGGACCGGGAATATCAATAGGTAACAGAGGAGAGTTCTACCCTACAGACAGCTAGTGTAGACCCCATTTGGGAGGAAAGTTTCTTCTGCTATTATCTTCCTTTCAGGAAAAAGGGACTTCTAAAATGCACTTTAAACATTCATCACAAAACTTCATTAAAGGAAAAGAAGATGGTACCGAGAAATGAAACTGTGTTCTCCTGGTGGCATGAACATGAATAGATATTAGGTTCTTGTGGTTTTTTTCGGGCTATATGGCCATGATCTAGAGGCATTTTTCTCTTGACGTTTCACCTGCATCTATGGCAAGCATCCTCAGAGGTAGTGAGGTCTGTTGGAATTCCAACAGACCTCACTACCTCTGAGGATGCTTGCCATAGATGCAGGCGAAACGTCAGGAGAAAAATGCCTCTAGAACATGGCCATATAGCCCAAAAAACAAAACAAAACAGAAGAACCTAGTGATTCCAGCCATGAAAGCCTTCGACAATACATGAATAGATATTGAATCCCATTCTAGGAGAAATGGGGGAAGATGCAAAATCAATAGATGGATAGATTGATTAATTGCTGCTGCAATTGGGCTTATGCCTGATTAGTCACATGTAGAAGGTTTGTATCCTTAGCAGGAAAATGCTCAAGTTAGTAAGCTTGCCTCCACCCATTCTTCGTAGCTCTGATAATGCCATGGCAGCTCTTTCCCCAAATTGGAATTCAGCTCCCAAAATTGGCAATTGCCCACTTCTTCTGGTGGTGATAATTAATGAACAGAGAGCAAACACATTTCACACCAGATGCTACATATCTCATACCTTTGGATGTTTCAATGCAGTCTACATTGCTGAAGTTGCTACTTTTACTATATTGTTGAGCAAACGCTTGCACTTGAACACAGTATAGAGTGGATGCGGACAAGCCTGAGATTACATATGGTGGTGATGTTTTATCCACAAATTCTTTCTTCTGTAAAACAAATGCAAAGAGAACATGGGATGTAAACCAGCCCACAAATTAGTAAAGAGGCTTTCTTTACAGCCTGGGTGCAAACCACACTGCTGTTTCTGCTGCAGCTTCAATGAACTCCAAACATATTGTTTTAGGTTCAAGAGAACATATACTGAAAAAGTGGCAACAACCATTTAAAGCTAATGAGACACTGTTCCGTGGACCAGGGCTTCTCAGGCTATGTGATATCAAGGACTAGCAATTATTTTCCTCTAAATGTGGCAGTCACTGGCACCATATTGCATTTCTTCGCATAACAGTCACCACTGTGTAATAGTAGCACCCCCATTTTGGGGATAGCAAATTTAGCATTTTTGTATTCCTTGCATAATAGTCAAGCTCTTGATTCATTCATCCGCACATGCACCCCTTTTCCAATTACAGGGCTTCACTTGGCTGCCAGCTGAGTGAAGCCCGTTAGCTGGATTTTGTTTTCACTGCATAATAGTCGCACCCCCCTTTTTCGGCCAAAATAAAAGGAATAAAAAGTGAAACTATTCTGCAGTGAAACACAGTACTTGCGACCACAGACCACAGTTGCTCTTTTCTGTCATGAAAATTCATTGTGAACCAACAGTCAATTGCTCAGGAGTCAGCATCAGACCAGTGGCCATCACTCTGAATAGCACTGCTCTAGACCACAGGTTCAGAAACTCTGATTTTCCTCCACTATGGATTCTCCAAGAGCAATAACACTACTTCCGCAAAATAAAAAATGACTTATTTGAACTAAAATGCAAAATATTGTAGAATTAAAAATAATTATTTTAGGAATTAAAAAGGCATATTCTATCTAATGTGTCTGAGGGTGCAACGGGTTAAACCACTGAGCTGCTGACCATGCTGACCGAAAGGTTGGTGGTTTGAATCTGGGGAGTGGGGTGAGCTCCCACTATTAGCCCCAGTTTCTGCCAACCTAGCAGTTCGAAAACATGCAAATGTGGAGATCAATACCTATCAGGTTAGAAGGCTAAAACATCCATGTTCAACAGATATATTTTATAATACCAAGTAGCCTTTTCTTGTTTATGTGAAGAACAACTCAGAACTCTCTCTAAGGTCCATGCTACTTTATGGAATTATGTACTGAGCAGCCCACAAAATTAATCTATGCATATTTTGTATAAGTCTGCACATCCTGGATAACATTTTTAAAAAACACATCAGTATAAGGCAATGGCAAACTCACTCTGAATAAATTTGACCAAGAATGATGAGTTTGCCTTAGGGTCACCATTAGTCTGAAACAACTTGAAAACAAACTGCAACCAATATTTTTCTATCATGGTGATTGATAGTCGTTATGCATTTTTCTCTCTCTCTTGGTCTGATCCTATTTCAGCAAAATGCTTTTTACAAAACTATTGCATGTCAATTGTTTAACAATTAACATCCTAGTGGCTCGGTTGGATTGTAAAATAGTGAACTGGTTAAACGATGGGACAAAAAGCATAGACAGTTCAGGGTAAAGGAAACAGGAGACATTACAATTCACTATTTTTACACAGGGTTTAATGGCCTTACAGAATAATAACAGTAGCATCAAGAGCAACACCAACAGTTTTACCTTGTTATATGAAGAATTTGGCCAGAACCAAATTTGATAAGTTAATGGATATATTTTGCTCATGGAATTATTTTCAACTTCTCCGGGTCCAGCAACATAAATCTGAAGTGAGTCTTCACTGGCATTAAGCTTGATGCTTGGAGGGCCGAGATTATCTGTAAAATAATGTTAATTAGTTTATTGAATACTTGAAATTAACAAAAGATTCAGACATGATATGAGGTAAAAGAGGCTTCAGAAAGAGGATTCTAGTACTATTTGTCAAAAAAAATTTCCTTCCTCAATAAAAAATGGAGGAAACTGTAGCAATATTGCATAGAGACCACAAAGAAGAGCAGACTCTTACTTAGATGTTATTTTTAGAATAGTATCTTCTACTGCTCCCTAGGATAGACCATACAGTACACAAAACACTGTCCTCTAATCAAAGCAGTTGTTGAAAGACTTAGGACCTCTTCACACAGCCCTTTTGGGCCGTGCTGTTTCGCTGGAAGTCTCCAGCGAAAGCAAAGGTGTGTTGGGAAGCTTATGGCACCCCACATACCCTCTCTCCTTCCCTCATCAGATGGGAGAAAGGGCAGCTACATGCAGCAATGCGCATTACCCCACTGCCCTTTCCCCCATCATACGGGGAAAAGTGGAGGAAAGTGCAGGTAGGTAGGTCCATCATAGCTACACAAAACACACTTTCCTCCCTGTGGTGGTGGAGAAAGCGCCTTCTGGTGCTTCCCCTCCACCTTGGGAGGAATGTGGGCAGGCCTGCCTTGCGTTGTGTGATGGTACTTGGGCAGGCGCCATCCAAGCCACAAATAAAAGCAACAAAATAGGGCTTTTTTGCCCTTTGTGAAGAGGTCCTTTGAAGGAATGGCTGTGGACATACATTGCTGTCCTCCACTTCTGCTGCTTAAGAAGGTTGTTCAACTCAATATTGAAGCAAACAACCTCCAAATATTAAGCAAAACATCTATTTCACAAAAGGATGAAAAAAGATCAATGCGAGTTAAAATGTTAAATGGAAACATACAAATGCAATGTTCACAAACTTGCTTCTTTGTTATTGTTGACTCTATTACTACCCAACCCTATGAACAAACTCGACATACATAGAGGACATCTGAATTTTTTTTAAAAAACAACAATCGTAAGTAATTTCTAAACTGATGTAAACTTAAGCTATGTGCTTAACTATATGATATATAGGGTGCCACACATAAACTGTAAAGATAAGCAGTACAAAGTAAATATGCAAGAAGAAGAAGAAATTATTTTAGGTGGTACCTACTATCTCTGTGAGGTTCAAATCGTCGCATTTTAGACCAAGGGGATTTCTTGTGGTTTTCTACAGCTCTGACTTGGAAATAATAAATTCCAGTGAAGTCAACAAAACCTGAAATATCACAGTGTGCTGTTTGGACGTTTTCGCATCCAGAAATGTTGACCCAATTCTTTGATATATCAGGAGAGGACCGTAGTCGATGTCCACTGCAATAACAATTGAATGATTACGCACAAGACATTTATTTTGCAACATTAGATCTCAGATTTGTTTGTGTTTAATTGACTGTTAGCCTCACTGACTAACAGTAAATGGAAGATACGCTTAGAATGACATATTGAAGATTTGCAAATCATATTGTAGATTTGCAAAAGTGCCCTTTACTATGACTATTTGGTATCAGCGGGAATTTACTGAGAAAATTATGAATATGAAGTTCAGATCTGTGATTTCCTTTATTCACAATCTCTATGTATTTCCCAGTTTAGTGGATACATAGGGACTGTGAAAGCCGCCTCCAGTCCCTATTCACTGGGCAAAGCTGATCAGCCAATGGAGGCCTGTTCCCCTATTGAGTCATCATCATAGGTGATCACTTGTGGCCAGATATTGTCTTCCAGATGTAACGTCTTAAGGTGGGTCCGTAAGTGACTGTGAAGACCTATTCTGGATCCACATAGTATTTCACGTTGAGGACATAGATTTTCAGACGAAAGGTGGGCATGCCAAGGGATTCCCTGATACGTCTTCCACTTGGTTTCTTCCTTTCGCCCTTTATTTTTGCCTCTTCAAAATCCATAGCACTGTTGGTAATAGCTAGCCTCCAGTCACAACACCCAAGGGCCAAGGCTTCCCAGTTCTTGGTGTTTATACCACATTTTTAAAGATTAGCTTCAAGTCCATCTTTAAATCTTATTTGTTGTGCACCGACATTCCATTTCCACTCTTGAGCTGAAAGTTAAAGTAATTACTTTGGGAGATGGTGACTGAACATTTGGACAACGTGGCCAGTTCAGTAAAGTTAATGGTAGAGAATCATTACTTCAATGCTGGTGGTTTTCTCCCAACTGACTAGGAAGCAGATGACTGGCATTCCCACCATTCCTGTAAGTCATTTCCATTGCACCAGGCATAAGCAAGACCCCTATTGAGATTCCCCCCTTACACCAGATTGCTCACACAAGGGAACATCAGGCAACTCTTTCCCCACTGACAGAGGAACAGACTTGCATTGAATGCACCTGCTGCTGCCCAACAAATGGGGATGGTGAAACCACCGTAGTTATACATTCTTAACTGCCTTTGTGAATTCCAGCCATTATTATTAATATAATAAAAGAGGCTAATAAAAAAACAAGAAAAATAACAAAATGCAAGTAACCCTACTGATAATACAGCTAAAAGTGAAGTTGATCGAAGGGAACATCATGATTCAATTCAAGGGGATTGATTTTTGGTTGGTTCCGGCAGTCGGTACCAACTATAAGAAATTAAAATTGACTGTTCTGTAATAAATCAAGGAACCTGACATTGTATCAAAAGAATGGAACTAATTAAAGAAGGAAATGCTGAAATATATTATGCTTGCATAAGGACGTTTTCTACTAATGATTCTCAATATGAGGCTTCTCTAAATACCCTGATTTTCAAAGGGCTGGCAGGAGATAGAAGAGCAGACAATCTGAAAATGCATATTTTGCAAGGATTCTTACTATTGGCCTTGGACCAGGAAGCTCATGTTTCTTTCATACAGATTGTCCCAGGACAAGACACACTTCATATTCAAGGCATGTACTTTAAGGTTTTCAGGAACAGGTAGACCAGTCCAAGCTGCAAGGAGAAGAAAGAAAAAAATCCATCGTCCATTAAACTTCAGGAATAATGACAAGCACCAACCATTCAACCTATGCAAGTTCTGAGGAAACTCTGAAAGGTATGCCTTAAAGGGCACCCAAATACAACTCCCCAGGGTTAAGGTTATGAAGGAAAGGGCCTCAGATGCCAACAAAAAGCCTAACATTTAGACACAAGACAAGAGGAGGGAGAGAAGGGAAATGGATAAACCCAAGAAACTTCCTCATCAATTCCAGCAATGGGTTTTCTTAAATGTAGTATCATTTGCTTTTGGAAAGATTTCTTTTTTCTACTAAACAGAAGGGAATGGTAATGTCTAAATCAGTGTTTCTCAACCTTCCTAATGCCACGACCCCTTAATACAGTTCCTCATGTTCTGGTGACCCCCAACCATAACATTATTTTCATTGCTACTTCATAACTGTCATTCTGCTACTGTTGTGAACCGTAATGTAAATATCTGATATGCAGGATATGCCAACATTTGGATACTGGTGGGGTTGGTGGGGGGATTGATTTTGTCATTTGGGAGTTGTAGTTGCTGGGATTTATAGTTCACCTACAATCAAAGAACATGCTGAACTCCACCAACAATGGAATTGAACCCAACACAGAACTCTCATGACCAACAGAAAATACTGGAAGAGTTTGATGGGCAATGACCTTGAGTTTTGGAGTTGTAGTTCACCTACATCCAGAGAACACTGCAGACTCAAACAATGATAGATCTGGACCAAACTAGGCATGAATACTCAATATGCCCAAATGTGATCACTGGTGGAGCTCAGGGAAAATAGACCTTGACATTTGGAAGCTGTAGTTGCCATGATTTATAGTTCACCTACAATCAGAGAACATTGTGAACCTCACCAACGACAGAATTGGGCCAAACTTCCCACACAGAGACCCCCATGACCAACAGAAAATACTGGAGGGATTTGGGATGAATTGACAGTGATTTAGGGGAGATGTAGTTCACCTACACCCGGAGATCACTGTGAACCCAAACAACTATGCCAAAGAGATTCTTAAGACCATCAGAAATATGTGTTTTCCCTTGTTCTTTGGCAACCCCTCTGAAACCCCCATGCGCCCCCCCCCCCCCCCCCCCCAGGGATCCCAACCCTCAGGTTGAGAAACACTGGTCTAAATGAATAGATTTCAAGTTCATACCTTTAGGGGTTCGCTTACAGTATTCTGGACTATATAAACCATTGTTATTTTGCAGATATCCCTTCACTTTTAGACAATAAGTGGTCTCTGGTTCAAGGCCATGAATGAATTGACCGGGAAAAACAGGCTCAGTTTTTTCCTGCAGGAAAAAAAGGTACAAAATTTATTTTAACTTGTGGTCACCATATACAGTCTTGCTAAGCTGATGAAGAAACTGTAAAACAGGACAAACATTTATTAAACATAACTTTTATTTAAATTGTGGAGCCCCTGGTGGCACAGTAGGTTAAACCCCTGATCTGAACTTGCTGACCGAAAGGTTGGCAGTTCTAATCCAGGGAACAGGGTGAGCTCCTGTTGTTAGCCCAGCTTCTGCCAACCTAGCAGTTTGAAAACATGTAGATATGAGTAGATCAACAGGTACCGCTTCTGTGGGAAGGTAATGGCACTCTATGCAGTCATGTCAATCACATGACCTCGCAGGTGTCTACGGACAATGCCAGCTCTTTGGCTTAGAAATTGAGATGAGCACCACCCCACAGAGTCAGACACAACTAGACTTAATATCAAGGGGAAACCTTTACCTTTATTTAAATCGGTATCATTTCAGGGCAGATCATGGCTTTTCAACCTACTCAGAGTAGAGTATGCTTTATAATTTAACTATAACTCATCACTGAATTGCCATTTAAACATGTTTGGTCAGACTATTACACTTAGCGTTGTGAGTAGAATTTCTCTCCATTTTATCTTTGCTGTCAAGTTACTAAATTGGTCCTAGAAATGCCACCAGATAACATAACCTCATGACTGTTTGTAATTTACTCAACACATATGTCATGATGTATTAGGACTATGTTTGCAGGCATATTAAGAGAGAAAGAGAAAGTAAATTTCAAATGTTTAATGGAAAGAAACGCAGCACCTCAGGATGAGATGAGTTTTTCCAGATAGTTAGACTGTAGCATAAATGCTCCCCTTCCCACATTTTCATCCGTTTGTTTAATTCAGGATTTAAAATGTTAATCTTCTCATTTCCATCTATGGAGTCTAGCCACACTCCTGGGGGACCAATCTTGGCTGTAGATAAAATAAGAGAACACAAGACACTTTCAATTAATATTATTGATGTTAAAAGCTTGTGATGAAACAGCTTGTATATAAAGAAAGAATAAAGAAAAATCCATCAGACTGAATGACCCCCATGACTTTAGATCTGGGGTAGACATCTTGCCCCTTTTGTAACCTGCAGGCCTTCCTTTGGTTTTTATTTACCACTGTATTAAAATACAGCTCTTTATTTGTCCCTCAGATCCACCACTTTATGAAAATTAAGTGTGACAATAGACCAAAAATAATGGTAGTATTGGAAGTGGATGGAATTAAATCACAGCAATATACATTAATTCCAATTCCCACTCACTTCCAACTGCTTTTGCTCTGATCAGAGCTTGTAAAGTTAGTTTTAAGAAAAGTAAATATAGCAAAATGCTTGAATAAAGTAAAACTCTGGGTACTACATCTTCTTTATGTTACTGCTGATGGAAAGCATCAGCACTATAATAATTCTTGTTTCACTAACATTTCATGATATAGATAAGCAAAAATATAGGGAAAAGAACAACAACTTGCAACATGAGCATGTTTTGATCAAGAAAACCAGTTGGGAGGGAAGTCACCTCTGCTCACCCCTGCCAAGGCAAAAATCATGAGCATTTTAAGACTCAAGACATGGATGTTTGAACAAGCATTCGGCTAATCCGGTGCGATGAAGTTGATGATCAAGGACTGGCAATCATAGACGATGAAATTGGATTATGATTTTAGTTGAGAGATGCATTGGTCTGTATTGGTGGCCCGATACTGTGTATTGCATATGTGTTTTATGTTTTTAAATTGAATATTGTTGTTTTTAAGTGTTGTAAACCGCAATGAGTCGCCATTTTAGGCTGAGATATTAGCGGTATACAAGCGTATTAATAAATAATATTAATAAATTTACTAAAAAAAAGAAAGAAAGAAACTAAGGGTGCATCTACACTGTGGAATTAATGTAGTTTGACCTGATGCTATGGAATCATGGGGGTTGTAGTTTTGCAGTCTTTAGCCTTCTGTGCCAAAGAGGGCTGGTGCCTCACTAAACATAAACCCTAGGATTCCAAAGCATTTAGCCATGGCGGTTAATGTGATGTCAACTGTGCACATTAAGACATAAAAGCACAAATCTGTGTAATGAGTTCTGCAGGCAAACTTTGAAAGGCAAAGAGAATGCAGGGGAAAGGTGTCTAAAATGGGAAGTGACTGCAGCCATTACTATGACTGAAGACCAATAAAACAGGCTGTGCATCCTTTACCTGGAATTCTAAAATCCAAAATACTCCAACATCCAGAATTATAAACAAACATGGATGACTAAGAAAGCAATACCTTTATTTTCTGATCTTTCAATGTTAAGAAACTATGTTTCATGCACAAACACGTTTAGAACATGGTGTATGAAATTACCTTAAGATGATGTTCTAAGGTAGTGGTTCTCAACCTGTGGGCCCCCAGATGTTTTGGCCTTCAACTCCCAGAAATCCTAACAGCTGGTAAACTGGCTGGGATTTCTGGGAGTTGTGGGCCACAACACCCGGGGACCCACAGGTTAAGAACCATTGTAAAGGTATAAATGAAACATAAATAAATTTCATATTTAGGCTTGGGTCCTGTCTCCAGGATATCTCATTATGCATGTATATGCAAATACAGGTATTTGAAAATCTGAAAAATCTAAAATCCCAAACAGTCTGGTCCCAAGCATTTTGGATAAAGGATACCCAATCTGTACATCTCTGATCTTATCTGCCTCACTAAAAAGTTAGAGAAAATCCTAAGGGATTTAATGCCATTTTTCCTAACATTGCACAAACAGGGAGTCAACACATTTCCTGCATTCAGGAACTATGGAGTACTTTAAACTGGAGGTGCCTTGCTCTTAACAAGCACATCTCCTCATATCACAGCGTAGTAGTAGCAGCAGTAATCTTTATAAATAAAAATGTAATGTTCGTTTGTGGGATTAACATAACTAAAAAATCATGGGGCGAATTGACTTCAAATTTGGACACAAGACAACTCTCAGGCCAACGAGTGACCATCACTCATAACAACACTGAAAAACACAGCGGAAGAGACATAAAAAAACAAAAAACAAAAAATACATTACAACGCATGCACAAAACCACATATACACATACATACACACACAAAACACATATGCACAGACTGGGCCACAGCAATGCGTGCCAGGGGACGGCTAGTGATATTAATAATAGAAAATCATTTCGGATCACAGGAAATAAGACCATTAACTAAGAAAAAATATATTCTATATTTCTTCAATTCAAAGATAGACCTTTCCCCTCATATAAACATATGATGGTACTGAAATTAATGTGTGTCATATAAACATATCATGTTGCATAACATACCCTGCAAAAATTAACAGAAGAATGCACAGGTATATAATTCCATCAAATATAAAATATATAGATAAGCATTATAGAATTCTGAATGACAATTTAAACACATTTACTTGTGATGACCCATTATAACACAGCTGTGGTGTGTAAAAACAATATTGTAAATAAAAAAAATTATAAGATTTTGTACTTTTTGCTTGAACCAGATTTTTTTTGTTTAAAAAAAAAGACAGATTTATACCGTCTAGAAATGGACAAAAAGTTAAATTTGCCCAAGCGGAGTGCTCTTGTGTGGTATCCGCTCTTACACCCACGGCATAGTTTTCATATTTATCTAGTTGGGCTGATGAGAGATCACATTCTGTGGTTGTTATATCTTGACACTCCAATATAGCAGACCATGCATCAGGACTTGTATCTTCACCTTCTTGGTTTCTGGGGAAGAAAGCAAACACATGAGTTAACACAGTAGACCAGTAAGCACTGATGATCTTTGAATTAAGCTCAGTTTTGATCTGTAGCATCTTTAGCTAAAATATGTTTTGTTCTTGTTTCTGTTCTGATGGCAATCTGGTTTCTGGCCTAGCTATGGGACAGAGATGGCATTGGCCATCTTGGTGGATGATCTATGAAGAGAGCTAGAGGTGGAGTGTGTCCCTACTATAATAAAATAATAAAACTTTATTTATATACCACTCTATCTCCCCGGAGGGACTCAGGGTGGTTTCCAAGCAATAACATCAAAACATACAGAGCCATAACATGAACAAAAGAATAACAGTAACAGCAACATAAGCATGGAATTACCCAACAAACATATCAATATTAAAAGAAAAAAATCCTGCCTGCTCTTCATGTCTATTTGTAAGGGTATGGAAAAGGAATGGGTCAGGACAATGAAAAAGGCTGGGTCAAGACTGATACAAATTGAAATAAGATGGGACCAGCATTTGAGTACAGTACTGTAATAGGTAAATGACAAAAGTGGGGATGGGCTATTTCCATGGGGTTAGGTCGTGTCCGGACAGTGTCTGGGCTGAGCTAGCACTGGTCACTCTCAAAGATTTGTTGAAACCACCAAGTCTACTAGAACTTCTCAGTGACTTTCGATACCATCGACCATGTCATCCTTCTGGGTCGGCTCTCCGGGATGGTGCTTGGGGGCACTGTTTTACAGTGGCTCCGATCTTTCCTGGGGGGTTGGACCCAGATGGTGGAGCTGGGGGACTCCAGTTTGATTCCCTGGCCTGTGACCTGTGGGGTCCCTCAGGGTTCAATTCTGTCCCTCATGCTGTTTAATATTTATATGAAACCGCTGGGAGAGATCATCCAGAGTTTTGGAGTTCTGTGACAAATTTATGTGGGTGATACCCAGCTCTATCACTCCTTTCCACCTAATGCCAAGGATGCTGTCCTGCCCCTAAACTAGTGCCTGTCATCAGTGATGGACTGGATGAGGGCCAATAAATTGAAAGTAAATTCAGACAAAACAGAGGCACTTCTGGTCAGTCAGAAGGCAGATCAGGGTGTGGGATTACAGCTTGTGTTGGATGGGGTCACACTCCCCCTGAAGATGCAGGTTTGCAGTCTGGGGGTGATCCCAGACTGCGAACTCCAGTCTGGAACTCCAGGTATCAGCAGTGACAGGAACGCCTTTGCACAATTACCATCCTGGTAACCTGTTTCCATCTCTCCCCCAACAATTTTAGTCTAATTTTAGAGATGTTAAATGATATTTTAAGGATTTAATATGTTAGTAATTGTGTGGATTCCATTATGTCTTGTTCATTTATGTTGGCTTCTAATTTATTGAGTTGTTTTTGATTTGTTTATTTTTATTTTTTTAAAATATTTTTTATTGAGGTTTTTTAGTAACAATACATTAATAGGGTGTTAATCATTGACATGTTGATTATACCTTAAAAGAGCCAGGGGGGGAGGGCTGATGGACTGGTGAGGTTGGAGGGGGTGGGTGAGATTCCTAGCTAATGGGAAGGGGGGGAGGGTGATGGGGGAGCTGGGAGAGGGAGAGGCAAACTTTCTAATGGAAAGTAAGGGTAGGCAGGAGGGGAGGGGGGTGCCAGTGGTTTGGAAAGTGGGACGTGGAGGGTGTTAGTATTGTTTGATCTTGTTAGTTATTCATTATTTCCCTCATGGTTAGTTGGTGATTATGTTATCCTTTGTGCTTGTCGTCTGTCTTCATTTTGCTGTTTCCCGTGCATCATTTCTGTTCTTAATTTCCTTCTAGAAATTTCCTGATTGGAGACCAATCTGTTCTGATTCCTCCTGCTTTCTGTTTAGTTCTTATGTATTGCGTCAATGTGTCCATGTTCATTATATCCATCAATTTTAGTCTCCAGTCGTCTAAGTTCGGGGTTTCCTCATTTTTCCATTTGCTTGCTATTACTAGCCTTGCTGCAGTGGCCATGTGGAAGAGGAGCTTGTCTTTGTTCTTGTCTATCTCGAAGTCGAATATTCCTAGTAGATAGTACTCAGCTTTCTTATCTATTTGCAATTCCAGTAATTTAGTTGTTGTTCTATGTATCTCCGTCCAAATTTTTTTAACTTTTTCACAAGTCCACCAAAGATGTAGAAAGGTGCCTTTTTTGTCTTTGCACTTCCAGCATCCTTCCGTTACATTTTTGTAATACTTAGCCAGTTTGCTTGGTGTTATGTACCATTGGAACATCATTTTGAACCAGTTTTCTTTTAAGCTATAGGAGTTGGTCCATTTTAGTTTTTCCTTCCATATTTTTTCCCATTCCGATGTGTCGATAGTATGGCCTAAATTGCTACTCCACCTTGTGATATAGCTGTCCATGCTTTTGCTCTCTGTTTTCCAGTTTAATAAGATTTTGTATAGTTTTGTGATTCCTTTTTTTCTGTTGTCATAATTCTTTCCCATTGTTTCTCTCTGTTTTCAAATTCTTCTCTTTTGTCTTTGTTATATGCCTCACATAGTTGTCTGTGTTGAAACCATGTGATTTCCCCGTATGTTGTTTTGATCTCATCTAGTGTTTTGAGCTTGAATCCTTCTCTGTCTTTCTTTAAAATATCCTTATATCTGGGCCAGTTTTCCCACCCGAGTTCTCTTCTTTGGGTAGCCTCTAGCGGAGAGATCTAGTGGAGAGTTTTTGATTTGTTTATTGATTTGTTTATATATTACCATTGGCATTGTTTGCCATTGTGTTTTTTTGTTGTGAGCTGACCTGAGTCCCTTCGGGGAGATAGGGCAGGCTATAAATAAAGTTTCATTTCATTTCAAGAGGTATCAACAGCTGCAAAACATCAAGGTGATGCTTGGAGGTAAGGGAAAAAACTATCTAAAAAGGAAAAAGTGGCTGATTAAATAAAGGCATGCTCTCTTCCTCTTGCCAAACTTTCTTTGCAAAGCCCTCTCTCAGATGTTCTACCAGTTTTGTGGCAGGTGCTAGTTGACTCTCATAGAGGAAAATCAAGTTGGTGGGGGAAAGCTGAAGCATTGCTGCCTGCCATTTCCCTCTGCAAACCACACCTCAGCTGCCAACTGTTGTTAAAAAAGAGAGAAAGAAGATTTTCTTTGAATCTGGAACAATAAAAGTCTAATGGCTAGAGGGCAACCATTCAAGCAGCTACTATTTTTTAAAATTTGAGAACGCCTCCTGGTTTTCCATTTTTGGTCATCTAGGTCAGGGCTTGTTAACTTTCCCTATTTGTGACAAATCACAAATTTTCCTTTTTGTGGACTACAGTTGATCCACTGTAAACACTGCATGCTATTGCCAACAGATTTGTGTAAATAGGTGGTGTTCAGAAACAGTTTACTGTTGCCAATTTTTGTGGCCCCAACACTGAGCTAAGGGGACCCCATTTGGGGTCTGGATCCACAGTTTAAGAAGCAGTAATCTGGCTATTTTGGACTTCAGAGACCATCACCATTGACTATCAGCAAAGCTGGCTGGGACTTCTGGGAGTTGAGAATCAGATTGTAAAAACCACTACTTGGGGCAAATTCATCTGTTTTTTGGACCAGGAAGGGCTTTTATTTGTTTGTTTGTTTGTTTATTTGTTTGTTTATTGGTCAAACCTAGGAGCAACCTGTTGTCATTTAAAGTTTTGGGAAAAGTCTCTCTACAGGCTTAGAATAAGTTTAGGATGAATTCTGTTGAAACTGCCCTCTACACTCCCTAAAAGGCATAAGAAGTAATTCCATCAATGGGTAGGTCAAGAAGGAACAAGAGTCAAAGTCTTGATTTCAGAGTCTTGGAAATTGATCATTCCCAAAATATTATGCAAGCAGCATGCTCTTATAGAAGATTACTGTCTTCCAAGATTTCCTAACTTATTAATGAAACTGAGATTGATTCCACACTTTATATGCTCATGTATAGAATCATATTGGTGGGCAGTACAATTAAGGAAGGAAATCATGCCTTATGACCAAGGCCATTCAATACATCATCCACATGGAAAAAACAAAATGCACAGCTATATATCTGGATGTAAAGGGTGCATCTACACTGTGGAATTAATGCTAGGGAATCCCAAGATTTGTAGTTTGGTGAGACACCAGCTTTTTTTTGGCAGAGAAAGCTAAAAAGTTGTGGAATTCCCAGGATTCCACAGGACTGAGCCACAAGGTGGAGTCAAACAGCATTAATCCTAAAGTACATTTCCACCCAAAGTCTGTATGGGGAGGCAAACTGTACAGATATTTTAGCAAGCATGCAAAGATAATGGAAGTTGTCTTGTCATCAGAACCCCATTCTACCATGTATTCATTTTAAATGCAGGAAGTATATGGAAAGCATTTCCAATTTTGGGGGAATTAGAACAATTACTGGGAAAATTCCAGCACCTGTGATTTACTGTTGAGTAAATTCTTAATATATCTGAGAAGTTTAGTATTATCTAAACAATTTATGCCACATTTCATGTATGTATCTAATTTTGACTGGAATATTATACGGTATCATCTCGTTTATCCAACATAAATGGGCCGACAGAACGTTGGATAATAAGGAGGGATTAAGAAAAAAGCACCAAAACATAATGTTTTGCAACAAATCAACAGAAAAGGCAGTTTGATACACAGATTGTTATGTAGTAATTACTGTATTTACGAATTCAGCACCAAAACATTGCAATGTATTGAAACAGCTGTGGATCCGGTTGGGAGGCAGACTGCATTGGAGAACGTTGGATGCGCGAAGGTTAGATATGCCAGATTCTACTGTACCATGAATGATGTACTGTCGATACTTTTGAAGAACATATTAACACATAATTTAGGACTGGATTTACACATTAAACCGAAAGTTACAGCAACATTTCACAGCTATGTATTGAAAGTGAACTGGGAACTTACAGTTGGTACCGAGTTGAAAACGTTACATTGAGATTGCATGGATTATCCCACTCCCATTTCAGAATGATTGTTGTGTCAACAATATCGACAATAACATTCCGTGGTTCCGTCAGGCATATTAACTCTAGAAAGATTTTAGGGGGAAAAAACAGAGGTTGTTAAGCTTGACATCTGGTTCCAAAATATGTTAGGTCTGTCAATCTGCTCTTTATCACACAAGGAATCCCACCTGTTTACAGCATGTATCTTTTTTCCAATTTACAGTTGGCTTTCTATATTTACTGGTTTAACTTTTATAGATTTAGTTACATTATGTAACAAAATTTGAAAATGTTTCTGTTCCTGTTTTGAAAATGTTATTTCCTGTTTAATTGTACACTACTTACTTTGAAAGTACTTGTTATCCTCCAGAAACTTCATTTTTGTGGCTGCCACAAAGTATGTTGAATTGGTTGAGACTCTATAAGTTATTCACTGAAAAACTATAGCAAAATGTGCTGCAGGATGTCCCGCAAAAAGAAGTTTTTGCATTTAATAAACCTTTTCCATGTTTTTATGATAGACCCAGTTAGGAAATGACATTTATAACTCAGGAACAAAAATCGTGTTACACAGTGTTATTAATCGATTTGAATAATATGGTTTACTCTAGGAATCCTCAAAGGGAAACCTAAGGTCAACATTTTTCAGAAGTTGATCACAGAGGATCTAGAAACCCCTAGAGAGATGTTATCTCAGCTTAAAAATAGTTTTTATTTGTGTTTTTCACACTTTGGGGGAGTGCACTCCTAACCCCCGCAAAAGTGGAGAGCCTACTATAATATGAACAGCAGCCATTAGACATGGTCGAAATGGGAGGAAAGCCACAAACATTCACTTCTATGTCAGCAAATGCAGAGACAGAACACATTTTAGTCATCCCTCCACATTTGTTGGGTCTAATGAAAATGAAAACCTGGGAGAAGATCTCTCTGGGAATTTTTAGGTCCCACAACATGCTTCCATGGTCAACGTCTGCTGGAGGCTTGTCACAGAATCACACCGAAGGATCTAGAGCAGAGCTTTCCAAATAGTATGTCGTGACACATTAGTGTGTTGGCTACAGTAGGTAGGTGTGTTGTGCAAAGGTGACAAGAAATGACAAAATCTTGGAAATATATGCCATAATCTTGCAAATAATACAAAAAATATATGAAAGGTTTTCATGATGTATGTTGTGTCCCCATACATTTTGTTATCACACTTTATATATGAGACTGCATTGCTAATAAGGGGTTGGTTGAACCTCTGGTTTGCCAGTAAAACTGAATGACTGTATCACGAATTAATGCATGTCGAGAAAGAGTGTCACCAATATGAAACATTTGGCAAGCTGTGATCTAGAGGTTTCCTGAGAGGTGTTCTTTCTAGAAAAATCTAGGTCCTCCAGCATGACTTTAGGGTAGTTCCCAACCTTTTTTTGACCAGGAACCACTTTGACCAGGGACCACTCTCCAACATTAATACCAAGGGGTTACAAATCAGTTTTTGGTCAACTTTAGATTCAGTTTGGTTATTTGGGGTGCTAATTCAGAAAATTGCATTGGATAGACCACATCAGCTCTAGTTTCTGATACAGAACATATGTCATCCAGTAATCGCCATCTACTCGCCTACAAAAAACCATATTTAATAGGCCTTGGCACTATAAGAGTGTTTTGCGAGACCAGTTGCTCTTGTTGCAACGTGTAGTAACAATGAAGCCATGGACCATATTTTAGTTCTTGCAGACCACTGGTGGTCCACGGATCACAGGTTGGGAACCACTGACATAGACAAATCAGATTATAAAAGAAAGCAGGTGCAAATTACTTTGCTTAGCAAAAAATCCAAAAGATAATTAATTAGGCAGTTATAACGCATCAGATAATGCACAGGATAAAACAAAAGGCAACGTGTGGGCAGAGAAAAATGTCAAGGCTCTAATATATACATCTGCATGCAATATGTGGTTCTTTTATGGTGGATGAGTGAGCAACAGGAAACAGACATAAAATATAGAATAACACAGAAGTTGTGGAAAGTAAGTAAAATATGCAGTGCTCTGTAACTGTTCACCACATTAATCAACATTTTGCTGTCTGATAGACTCGCCAAATCAAAGTTGGATTTGACTGATTTGACTGATTTGTTTTCCATTGTTTTTCTAATTGAAAAATTACTTTTCTCCACACAGAGATATCATCTTGGTGACATTATTCCTTTCAATGTATTCTAGGCCTATTGGCAGCAGTTCCTATTTAGTTTTTCCATGCAAACTCAGTAATAGTTTTCAGCAAGCCTTTCCCAAAATAAATTTGCTTAAAGACAGCAGTGCTGTGTAATTTTAATTATCTTAAATGTATGACTCTACTGGAAGCAAGGAATTGTGTGTTGTGTAGAAACGCATTGTGTGAGTAAACAATACTACATACTCATGTGGTATGACATTTACACTAACCACAAAATGCTAATCATGACTGATCTGATTGATCTGATCAATATCAGAATGATATCCGATTCATTTATTCAACAAGGAGTCCTACTGAATTCATTGGCTGCATACCTGTGGCTAAGAACACAATACGTTTTGCTGGCACATTTTTTGGGAAAAAATAATCAGAATGGAGCCCCCCTAAAGGCACTTCTGAATTTTATACCATGATTCGGGGTAAAAAAAAAATAACAAACATTTCAGGGTCAGAACTAGGTTTTTCAGAAATCACAAATAGTTTCTGCCTTCCTCTTTGACTGCCTAATGTAAACAAGCTGTGTTTTCATTCATGAATTTCCATGTGATGTGTCAGAAAAACTATCGGGTTATGTTCATCTCCAGGGCAAGCCAATTCAGATTCCTGATTTTATGAGCAGAATAAACAATCAACCCAATACAAGAATGTTTAAAAACTCACACATTAGCTTCCATAGGAACTGCGCTTACCAGTTTCCCCAAATTCAGCTCTGAGGACTCCATTAACACTGAATCAAGTTTGTCTTTTGGAGACAAAGTATGTCTCCAAAAGTGTCTCCAAAAGAATTGTTTACAGATACATCAACATTGTAGAATTAATGCAGTCCGACACTATTTAAACTGCTATGGTTGAATGCTATGAAATCTTGGGAGTTGGAGTTTGGTGAGACACAGCACTCCTTGGCAGAGAAGGTTAAAGGTAAAACCACAGCTCTCCTGATCTCATAGCATCGAGCCCTGGCAGTTAAAGTGCAGTCAAATGGCATCTATTCTACAGTGAGATGCACTCTTGGGCAGTGAGGATGCAGTGAGGATGCAGCTCCGCCACTAGTAAGGCATCTGCTTCAGATGGCAAAATTTTGATGTAAGGAGGGAATGAGCTGATATGAGGAAAAACAAACTGAAAATGAATTCAGACAAACAAAGGTGCTTGCCACAAAGAGTCCAAATCTGGGGGTGATGGTCTGTCAACCAGTTCTGGATGGGGTTACGCTCCCCCTGAAAGACTGTGTTTGCAGCTTGGGAGTGTTCCTGGATCAGTCTCTCCAAATGTCAGGTCAAGTTGATACCACTGTCAGGAGTGCTTACTATCAGCTTCAGCTGATACGCCAGCTGCGCCCCTTTCTAGATTTGGAAGATCTAAAGATAGTACTGCAGGTGCTGGTAACCTCAAGGTTGGACTTCTGAAATACACTTTACACTGGGCTACTTGTGTATAAAGTTAAGAAACACAGAAACCAGATTGGTTACAGGAACATCCAGGAGTGAGCATATTACACTGATCCTAAAGTCACTCCACTGGCTGCCAATTAGTTTCCAGACAAAGAACAAAGTGTTGGTTTTGACAGTTAAAGCCCTATATGGTTTGTGTCTAGGTTCACCTTCTCTTGTATAGTCTGCACCAAACACTGAGGTCCTCTGTGGGGGAGGGGGCAACTACTCCAACCTTTCAGAAACCGACTGGTGACCATCACTCAGAGGACCTTTTCACTGGCTGCCCCAAGACTGTGCTAGAAGAGCTCCACAGCTAGGTCTGCTGTCAGAATTTAAGACTCAACTAAAGTCCCATTCCATCCGGCAAGTCTAACCTGTCAATTTTAGATTAATATGTTTTTTTTAATTTTCAATTTACATATTCATAAAAACAGTGAAACATATCTATATATATGTATGTATGTATATATATGAACCAATAAAATACTTTAAATTATTTGGGACAGGAAGTCACTAAATGGGAAGGGGGGAGGAGGAGGGGGGGTATAACCTACCTGGTCAATTTTAAGTTTGGAATTTTAATCTGCATCTTACCAGTGGATTTTAACTTGTATTTTAACTCTACATGTCTTGTTGTACGGCTTTTAATAGTGTTTTATCTCTTGTGTTAATGATGTTGTATCGTGCTGCGAGCCGCTGGGAGAGGCAGGTAATAAATTTATTATTATTATTATTATTATTATTATTATTATTATTATGTCATAAAAGAATAAATTGTAATTTGTTCTTCTAGAATAAGGAAAGATGTTTGCAAGACTTTCTGCTTCAGAAGTTAAAATAACTTAATTGAGCTAATGTTCTGTACACTGTGTTGGGGTATTGATGGATGGAATTTCCTGCTTAATATCAGGCAGAAAAATGTTTTGGGTGAACCAGACAGACAAAGCAGCACTCAAAAAGCTGGAAAAAAAATCAAGAAAGAAGACACCTTGTGAAGTTCTGCATAGTGTAAGGGCATCCACAGTGCCAATAAGAACAGCATCAATGTTCTTTTAAGTTCCACAAAGCTATTTTGACTAAACAACAGAAGACATTCAGGACTGACTACAAAAGAAGTAGATGCCCTCATACACACACATTCATAAACCAAAACAAAGAAAGAAAACAAAGAAAACAATACTTTTCAAAAACTGGATTGTTATAAACTGTGAAACTTGTCCTGCAGAGTGCTAGTTTTAACCAAAAAATAAATAAATAAAAAATCACACAACGTAATATGATCTAAAGATTCACAGAAAACATAAAAAGCATTTTCAGGTTGTTACACCTTATCACCAGCTCACATAGAGTTTCATATATAGTATTATTTACTTTTTTTTTAAAAAAAATATGTAAATATTTATTCATATATCTTCCTGTCT